GGTGTGGGTGTGGGTGGGTGTGGGTGTGGGTGTAGGTGGGGTGTGGGTGTGGGTGTGGGGTGTGGATGTGGGTGTGGATGCGGGTGTGGGTGTGGATGCGGATGCGGGTGTGGGTGTGGATGCGGGTGTGGGTGTGAGTATGATCGCTTTTCATAACATCACACCCACACCGTATGAAATTCGGGAGATCGATTTTTTCTGAATAGTCCCGATCCCGAATGTCCTCTCCAGAATTTTTTAAATAGACCCGATCCCGTTTGTCCCGTCCCGAAAAATTTTCGAGACAATTCCGAATATCCTGCGGGATGGAACAAACGGGGCTTTTTAGAATTCGAGACTGTACCACAGTCTTCTACTTGATTCGCTGTTAAAAGGCCTTCTAATCACTTCCTATATTGTCGACAAATCTATCGGACCTAATGAATCGAAATAAAATCAAGGAAGTGGCTTCGAATCAATCTCATTCGATCCTTTTCCCGCTATTTACTCTTCTATTTTATGCAGTACAGTTCAGTGGTGCATACAAAATGAAAATATATATCCGATCATCACTTTACTCTCAACTAATTATAAACAAGTGGCAAAATTTGCGAGTATAAAAAGCACCGCTGATCCTCGATGCTTACATAAAGGCAAAACTAGTTAAAAACACTGCCTCATAGTATTCGTTTCACCATCAATGTTGCTGTCGACCTGTATCATTTTCTTAATTATTATCAGTTGTGTCGATGCCCAAGATGATGTTAAGCAGCGTGCTGCTAACTTTCTCGCCCGTGTAGGTCTGACTATTCCTCCAACAGGTCAAGGCGAAGACCAATGGGTAGCACTTTGTGAAGTGAAGGCTCGCATCACTGATGCTGAATTAACAGAGAAGAGGGTTACACAAACATGCACAAAAACAACGGGCGGAGAAATCCTTGAAATACGTGTCATTCGACGTGCTGCATGGCGCTGTTCGTGGTCAACAGAATCGTATTCGTCTGGTACTCTTCTTAATTATCAGCAAACACTCGCGAGTCAATAAGATGCTGGCAAGAAGCTGGCTGTGGAAGCAGGAGACAGTGCCGCAGCCGAATACATGGAGACGATGAAAAACATACACTTTCAAAATCTACAAGTTGCTACCAATCGAGATGCAGCTAAGCTTACAGCAACCGCTACAAGTGCTACTTGGTGGAGATCGGGTGCCAATTGTGATTTGGTTCTTGAAGGTCGCGTGCGCCATCTTGCATATTGATCGATTTCTTCGTTGTGAAAGAAGTTTCATAAAAGAATAGTTACATTCTTAAACAAGATTTCTTGGATTATTGTTACTAACAAATAATATCAGTCTCTTTTAATAAACTTCGAGCTAATTGCAACTCTAATACACAGTAATAATCTGGTATATGTATAGTGACGTAGCCAGTTCACTAGCGACTTGCTAGGCTTTGAGGGCAAACCAGTCAGATTGGTGAGAATGCAAGAAATTCTTGAAATCTGATTCGCTTGTTCTCAAAGTCTAGCAAATCGTTAGTGGGTTGGTTACGCCACTATCTGTGTGGACATAAATCATTCTCACAACTGTTTGATGCTTGCACACTGTAAAAAACAGAGAATAATAAACTCACAAAAGAGTTTCTTAGTCACACAAGCTTTACGTCAACTCTTATAACTCTTTTAGGGTTTCTCATATGCTTCATTTTGGGGCGTGGGTGTGGGTGTGTAGGTATGGAATATGGGTGTGTGTGGATGTGGAGTGTGGGTGCAGAATGTGACCGCGGGTCTGGATGTTCGTATATGTGTGGGCGTGGGTGTGGATATGAATATAAATTCAATTTACCTTAACCAAAACTCATATCTACACCACCATTCACACCCCATTCCTTTTTCACCTATGTGGACCTATTTTTTTTGTCATATATTTGAAAATTTTACTTTAAGAGGGGCCTATCAGACCACTGGTCAAGCATGCATACAAAAAATTTCGATTTTGAAATAAATTATATCATTCAAAAGTCCGTAAAAAGTTATGCTCGAACCCAGATTATTAGCTCTTTCTGAAAATCCCACCAAGGGATATGAAGGAATTTTTGAATCCACCTTCAGGTACTATTTTATAAATTTTCGAAAATTTTGATGAATTTTAGAGAATTCTATTATACACTTTATGACGACATATGTTACCATGAAAGATCTCTCTTTGTTAGTATTAAGTAACGTATCTTGATTAGATCTGTTAAATGCACCATGATAGAACAAGATTCTCAAATATAAATCGTGTCTAAACAGTTTCTAATGTGTTATATTGAACTGAAAAAATAGGCAAAAATGATTATTTTTTATGAAAATTTTGTATATTTTTGCTCTGAACGCGTACCAGAGCAATTGTTTTTCAAAAATCTTTTAGTATCAAGAAAAAGTTCGTCAAAAACTGCGTCTTCCTATATATAACTCAACAGGATAATATGTGAGAAGGTTATTTATTTTTTAAGCGTAAAGAAGATCCCTATCATGCGAAATAGGTCCACATGGATGGAAAATAACAACTATTATTTGATTTAAATTGTATAATTGTAAGAGTGTGTAGAATTGCTTTTGTTTATATTGTACATTCAGTATTGTTACTGTTGGTATATAATTTAGTTATTTTATAATTATAAATAAATATTTAATTACATTTTAATCTCGAGGGGTTAGTTTTTCTTTGTACTCCGTACTATTATGCTTTGATTGAAAAAAATAGTTTTGTTCAATAGTATACTGTTTAACATAGCTTGAGAGACTTTTGTCGATAGATATCATGCTTGTGACACAAGCCTCTTCATATGGCTGCAGTGTCAAAACGATCCGTGGTACGGGCCCAAGTGAACTCAGATCGTCCAGGTCGATATCCAAAAATCCATTCGAAAGAGTCTCGCTTTAATGGGATCGGCGCTGGCTTTGAAACTGACGAGAACAGATACTATACTTTGATCTTAGCCGAAAAGGCCGAGAAACGATAACTACTTGAATCAAATGAAATCTACACTGTGCTCTTTTGCATACGCATTACTTGTTGCATAGAACAAAAAATAAAAATAGGCAATGTATGAGAACAACGTAGATATGGTACCTCACAGGTTCACGAGTAAAGTTGTTTCCTGCTGCTTACGACGAGATTTTCATTTGATCATGACACCTTCATCAGTATCATTATTTAAAAGATGTGCAAATTCTCTTAAACAACAAGATGATGCATTTGCTTTTTCTGATTCAAATAAAAATCGCCAAAAAGTTGAAAAAATGTCATCAAAAGAAAAAACAAATCGACCAAAAGCATGGTTGGGTGTGGATGTAGTATTCGTTAGATACCCCACCCACACCCCCAAAATATTTTGATCCAAATTTTGATTATTGATGTCAATGATAGATTTAAAGGCGGTGCATATGTTTCATATGCGATAAAAGAAGAACAGATATTTGTCTTTTATTCTAAATTCATTTATTAGACTGAAAGGAACGTACTATAACTGAATGAGAGATACCTACAATTATCTATCGTCTGACATATTGGGACTCGATATGTTCTTATAGACAACAAGAATACATCGGGTGTCTTTCGGCATGGCAAAAAGAAAAGAACTACAAAAGGAATTCATATTTGAAAGTGTTTTCGAAACATCATGAAATATAAAATAAAATTTTCAAAATTAATCTTAAATCAGACAAAAAAATTACTTTTTAAATGTTTTTCGCTCATCTTCAATAAACTTGCAAAAAAAATAATTTAAAACTACTACACAGTTAAAAGGGAAAAGACCGCTAGAATTCAATGATTCTCAATATTGTGCATGTGTTTTTGTACACAAGAATAACAATTCTTCATTTCAGTTGTGCTTAGTTGAAATTAGTCGAACAAAAAAAAGTTAAAAACCGATTCCAAAAGCTTCATATTATTTTTCATAAATCTTCCAAAAATAAAAGAATGTCATTGGTGACATTAAGTGTTTATACTTTCTACTACGTTGCAAAATAGATCAATTTAAGCATTGTGTCGAATTGTTGTGCTTGATCTTCATTTATAGCCCTATGGTTCCGAATAGTACGCTTTCACTTTCTGTGAAAGCGTATAAATGTACGCAATTGTGCATGTGTCCTTCTATTATTCTGTTTCAAAACATACGAACTCTACGCTGTGTCTAATGAAAAGCAACCTAATAGTAATACGTCATTAAGTTACACATTTTCTTGGAAAAAAGAGACATTCGAAATTGACTAAAAGACACTTGATTCAAGCTAAAAACCTGAGTTTGATGTATATTCGATAAAACGTCATATGTCATTGTTTTTAAACACAAGACAATCTTATTTCTTGTTTTTTTTTGTGTTGATAGAATAATCTCATTTTCATTTATGTTATTATTACTTTGCTGGATCGAAAAGACTTCTGATTTATCAATAAAAATCTTTCTCATTTTGCTCATCATTTTTTTTGACACAAGAGAGGTTTTCCCATTGGTCTAAAACTTCTGATTACGGCACCGCATCCACCATCACTAGTAAACATTGTTTCTATCTCTAATTGCTATCTATTTTTCTGTAGTTTTTTTACAATATCGATTTAATTTTGAGTAAAAAAAACTCACACGTTATGACGGCTAATCATGAACAAAATTCAAAACTTTTGTATAAATAATTGTTTTGAGCCTTTGTATAATGTATGAATTTCGTAAAATTCATGAAATAAAAAATAATATTTGTTCAACAGAAGAAGTACTCGCTCATTTCAACTATTTATCATGGTACAACAATGTATGTTTCACTCGAAAAATTACGATTAATCGTACAAATCATCACAAAATTTTTCAACGATCCTGACAGCATGCACTCATAAGTGAATCAAAACCGTTTCTAATAGCTTTTGCGTACTTTCACTCTCATTATTTCGATTCCAGTTGCATAAAATCTTTTCATATATATGTATTAATATATTCTGTTACAACACAAGCATACACATGAGAGATAAGATATATCTTTCGCTCTAACTATTTTTATTGTTGGTTTAGTTCAAAATGACCCATGAGCCATGTCAACCCCCTAGTTTTCGCCACCGGTGATAAGAACATTACCTGAATTGAGCATGGTGGCAGTATGTGAAGCACGTGTTGTTGACAATCGTGCACTAGCACTCCATCTACCAGTTGAAGGATCAAATATTTCAGAACTATCCAGGAAGCCGGTATACCCATAGCCAGCAGTTGCAAGAACTTTTCCTGATCTAAGCATCGTTGTAGTATGCGAAGAACGTTCTTCAATCATGTTAGTAATCTTGTTCCATTTGCTCGTTGTTGGATCATATATCTCACAACTGTTCAAAAAATTAGTATATCCAACACCACCAGTGACAAGAACTTTGTCTGAAGCGAGCAAAATTGAAGTGTGAAATCTACGTCCCGTTGTCATGCTTCCAACAGTATCCCATTTGTTTGTTGATGGATCATATATCTCAGAACTAGTCGAATACATAGCTGATTGAGTGCCACCAATGAGAAGAACACTACCCGACTTGAGCAAGGTTGCTGTAGGATTATAACGCGCTACTGGTCCCATGCTAGCAAGAGAACTCCATTGGCTCGTTAATGGGTCATATATTTCAGAAGTAGCCGCATCACTCGTGACAAGTACTTTGCCTGAATTGAGTAGAGTTGCAGTATGACTAGAACGTGGCGTCGCCATGCTTCCAGTGGGACTCCATTTATTCATTAATGGATCATATATTTCACAAGTATTCAAAGCACCGTCCACATCATAAGTACTACCGCCAGTGACGAGAACTTGACCCGATTCCAACAGAGTTGCAGTATGAAAACCACGTGGTATCGTCATACTTGCAGCAGCATGCCATTTATTGGTTACTGGGTCGTATAATTCACATGTAGCCGTATAACCAGTATATCCTCCACTGCCTGCGACGAGAACTTTGCCTGAATTCAACAGAGTTGCAGTATGAAATATACGTGGCATTGCCATGTTTGCAGTAGTAGTCCATTGATCTACTAATGGATCATATATTTCAGTAATAGTTATACCATTGGATGATTGGTGAACTTGAGTAGCTTTGCGTGAATCGAACAGAGCTGCAGCATGAATATGTATACTTGATCTAGTTCTATTAAAGATATTCAAAGTCAACAAAAAAAACTGATATTTGATTAACTACACATTTCCAGAATTGATGAAATTTGATTCTTTCACAATGTCTCTCTCTATCTCATTTTATTCATATACGCAATCTTCTCTCTAACCGCTGATACGCATAAGTAGTAGTCGACATACCGAATAGATACTTACATCCATGTAAAAAAGAAAAGAATAATACAATAATTCATTACCATCATCCGAAAGTGAAAATTTGTTACTATTGATAGTAAACAGTGCGAGAAATATTCACTACGATAGTAGCATCAAAATGAAATAGAGTCAAGTAGAATAAAAAAACATATTTATAACAACTTCAGAATGACATATGCAAAAAAAATAAGGTGATATTTCAATTTTGTCACCTTGATGATATGCTTTCTTTTTAAAATTAAAATGTTATCATTGTTTTCAAAATACGAAATGACTCACAGATCAAATAATTTGTTTCAAGTATAAAGAAAATTAATGCATACTTTTGCAAATTTCAGTGTTCTACAAAGCAAAAGTATATCACACTAACAATGAAGCATTGTCACTATTAGTTGGCATTCTTTGTATAACGATGACTTTGCAGCTTAACAAGTCTATTTTTATCATGAGTAGAAGATAGTTTATCAGACTTAACAAAGAAAGTGATTCTTGTCAACTTTTTATTGTATTAAGAGCAAACATTTTTGATCCTACAAAGCTGTTCATTTGTACCGTATGGTATATGCCTTGATAATATCAAAAACAAAACAAAAAGTGTTTCTTGTCTTGAGAAAGATTGTGTTCGTCTATGTTAGGATGGTACAGAGAGAAGACAAGAAAAAAATGATAGCAAACATGCTAGTACATGCTACTAAGGGTAGGTGTGGGTGTGGATATGAGTATGACACAGAGACTAGCTAAACTCAAGTCCACACATCTCAGCCTAACACTCACACCCACGCCCTTTTTTGCAATTAACTTACAAGAAGGAAATATTGGCCTATCTTGTGCAGAATTTGACGCTCTTTCTATTGGTACCATTGAAGAAAATTTATGCCCATTTTTTATGTGAAATCAGAGGCATTTCTCACGAAAACAGAAGTTTTTAACATGGTTTTTAGAAAAAAAGACATTCTGAGTATCTTTAAGATACTTTTCATAATTACTAATAGTCTCAAAGTTTTTTATTCAAACATATGTAGGCTATGTAGCTCTTGATGCTCTATCCAATGGTATAGTTTAAATTGAATTTCATTATGCTAACGAAGTGAAAACTTATTTTTCTCGAACTACGTACTGATAATTTTAAGATTCAACTTTTCTATTATTCCACTTTTTAAAGTATAGGAAAGTTAAAATACTCTTCGTAAATCAACTTTTCTTCCAATATATAGCTAAGTGCCTCCTCTTTCGAATAGATGCTGAAAAGAATCATTTGAGTTGGTAAAATGAGCATTAATTCAATATTTCTATATGTAGGGGAGGGGAGTGTCTTATAATTATGGAACAGTTGAAATTTGAAAGTTTTTCAATTTATTCATTAATACTAACTGATCAAATTCAAATCAATATGGCAGATAATAGACTGCTACTATGTGATCCTGGATATGACATTAGATTGGGAAGGAAACCTTCTTTAGTTGGAGAAATCTTTATTGTTCTGAAAACATAAGGGGGTATCTTATAATTTTGGGACACCCTGTAAAAACACAGTTGGTTGGGTGTGGGTGTGGGTGTGGGTGTGGTGTGGGTGGGTGTGGGTG